CTCATTGCAATTGCCATTTCTTGAATTCTTTTTGTCCATCATACTCTTCTTGGCAATGTCTTTTCCTGATGTTGAATATATGTCCTTTGTACGAGTGTCTTTTTTTAGCCGTCCTCAGCAAATCTCCAATTCTGCCTAGGCAATATTCGAAATTCTTGCTGATTCTTCCCTTTCCAATTTTCAGGCATTTCTCATGAATGAGAATCCGAGTTATATCATGCCTGAATCATGGCCTATTATATAAAAACTTTAATAATTTTCTGCCCTCCCTATCATATAACTCCTATAATTCTGCAGATAAATTTGTTATTATATCTTATTGATCTCGTTATAATGATATTTTCTCATAAAATTGCAAATCCAGAAAGGATGCCATAGCGTTTGCAACAGTTAAGAAAAGTCAAGTGATAAGATTGACTTACATTTGTCTTATTTGATATGCTGTAATCAGTGCATTGTCTGGCAATCTTACCACCGTTATTAATTTCTAATGCTGAAAATCATCATGCATACTATGACAGAGGACGCTGGACTTTTGGTCGTTTCAACCAAGTTGCCAAAATGAGGTCAAACGAATACTACTAAAAAAAGTTGTATTTCTTATTCTTATGATTTTTTATTTCTGCTATTTACTTTTTTAAATGCACTTCCTATTTTTTATGTAATGAACCTATTCAAAACCTAAGAAATTTATCTGTAACTATTCTTGCAATTATTCTTAAGCCCATGAGCTTGATGAACCATAGTTTGTTAATATCAGCATGGACCAGGTATTAACTACTTGGTGTGCTGTTGGCGAGTTAGTATCGGCGCACCACCACATAAGTTGATTGCAAAATTCAACTTGTAATCATTCAGGCTGTTCACATGTTTATTGCTAATGGAACCCGTTTTCATAATTTCATTCCAAAAATTAGCTATTCTAAACGAAAATCAAGCCATTAAGTAGTCAATTTTATGTAACTTTAATGCAGTTTCCTCATTTTATTATTGTTAAAACTTAAGCCTCTTATATTTCTCCTAACATTGTACGTAAATCCCTCTCCTTTAGCTAACAAGTCCACTTATAAACAGGATACTTAAACTAAAAACTGCATTATAATGCAGCTTTATATTAAAATCACGGGATACTGATGACAATAGTTTTTATAATAGAAATAATTTATTTTGTATGGTTCCTTTGAATAACCATCAGCTCACTCCTGCTGACCGGTTTCTAGTTCTTGCCACCGACGGTCTCTGGGACTCGATTTCTCCGGCTCAAGCTGCCAGAACCCTCTCCCGCCTCCTATCCTCTTCCCCATCCTCTTCTACTAGATTATCGGACGTCAACGCCTCTCCTGGAAATCCAATTGATTGTCCAGCCACTCGGCTGCTACGTCGAGCACTTACGAGCATGCCAGCCCCCCTAGCAAAGGCAATTGCTACTAAACGGCACCGGATTGGGAAGACGGACTCCATCCTCAGTATTCAAAATGTGCAGGATTCGACGGAGATGGAAGAAGGTGAAGAGGACGACGACGAGGAGGCATTGAAACGAGCGTCTGCTCTGCTATCACTTCCGGCTGGAGTGGCTAGATTCTATCGCGATGACATTACTGTGCTTGTTCTGGAGCTGGAGCTTGAAAAGGTTGCCGGACAGTCATTTTCATAACAGATTCTTATTTTTTTACTCTCATTTCTTTAAATTCCCTATTCACTCTAGATGCCTCCATTCTCGCCCATTTTTCGCTCCGCTTTTGAGATCCT